CATGCATACTCAACGAAGCAAAAGATGAATGTAAGTGACAGCGTCATCTCTCCTGCGTAGCAAATCTTTCAATGCCATCACCCCTCCTTCATTCTTCACCATCATTGCGTCTGTGTGTCTTCAATTCTATGCAGGTAGACCAACCAGTGTCCAATACTATATATATACACCACAACTTTTACAATTTTTAATTTTGCTTATCCAAATTTGCAGCTTTCCTGGACTCTCTCTACATATTATATTGGGTGAATTCCAACCACAGAGGTCCTGGTCATTTGCTGCATCATTATTGTTTGAATGTGTTTTTCTCACTTATGTGGGTCACCATTCAATATTGTTTGTACATAAATGTTTGATTGGCGTAGAAGGCTGCATGTGGTCTGAATTCCGATACCTTAAATAAGGGCCATTTCAGCTGTGGTCATCGTACTACCGTCATCTTCTGTCACATCAACATTCACAAAAAAGCTGCTGCATTAGTGCAATAATAATGGTCTTGTCTAATGATTGTACTCGTAATGTTGACAAAGTCTTTGGTTTTCTTTGGTCCAGTGAATTTGTGCAATGACATTTGATTCTGTTCATGAACATGGGAGGATGGAAATTTGGAAAAGAAAGAATGAAGATGTGAGTATGTGTAATATCTATCCAAAACATTTTGTTTCCATTTGTCATTTGAGGATTTCTTCTATTTGTTTTTCTTCTTAGATGAGATTAATTTATTTGGACAAACTTTTTAGGTAAGAACTTTTATGAAAGAAGAAATAAATATAAATAAGTAAATATTTTTTGTTGTGAACTGAAAATAATGTATATATAATTTAATTTATAGAAATTCTTGAGTATAAATTTTCTAAATTTTTTTATTTTTCATTTACTCTTTGGCTATGTTTTTTAAAATAAAAAATAAAATGGAAAAAATAATTGATTTGCTCAATGAAAAAGTTTATTGAAAATTAATGAGACCGTACAAGTACGCCAACACGTATCATTTTTAAAGTACTTAATTGCAAGGTTAGCTCATAACATATTAAGAGAGAGGTGTGCGACAGACTTGTTTTGCATTAAGAAACAATCATCTAAATTTTAAAAGATTTTATATGAATGAAATACTTTACAAAGACTATTTTCTTTTAAGATTTAGATTTCAAAGGTTCTATAAAGTATATGAAATCATAATGTTTAAGAAAATTATGGATTTGCAATATTTTAAAGGATTTAATGCATGAATTTGTAATATTGGATTTCATGTAGTACAAATATAGTTCATAATGAGTTTTTTTTTTCTAAAATTTGTCGTTAAATTTGTTAATAATTTATTTTTAAAAAATTTATTGATAATTTTGTTGGTAATTCTTTTAATTTCTTGGTAATTTAAATCTTTAAAATTTCATAATAGTTTTGTCGATAAATATTTTTGATGATACTAATTTTTTTGTCACATCTAACTAGATATTATTTTTATAGGATAATGATACTTTGACAACATTTTTTTTATAACATTTTAACATTATCTACGTGTCATTAGTTCAAAATTATTCCACAATCAATAATAATAATCATAAATATCAACATGGACCAACCACAAAATGATACCTAGGTGGTATTAAAATGTTGTCAAAAAAATGTTATCGAAGTAATGAATAGTTCTCTCATATACTCAAATAATTATTACATTTGAAAACATAAAGAGAGAAATGATAGCATTTATCTTAATTTTTTACTCTCACACTTTCTTAATAATTAATGATTTTGTTATGAAATACTTAATATCACGTTAAATAAAATACCAGTTTAAAATTTCAATTTCACTGTTTTATTGTGGATCCCATCCAGATTTGAAGAATCTATCAACTATATTTGAATTATATTGGTCAGAATAGGAAGTATATTTTAATTGAACAATTTTTTTACCCGTAATAATATATCAAAACAATATTGCAAAACAAAGTGGAAGATAAGTGTCTTATGATTATTTACATTAAAAATAAATAGTTGGAAATTTTAGTTTTGTTTTAATTATTGATGAGTTCAATAATTTGTTATAGTAGTGAAAAAGATAAAATATAAATATTTTGATTACATTATTTTGGCTCCCAAAAATTGGTGGTTAAGATCTATTAAGTTTTTTTTTAAAGAATTCGTTAGAAAATTATTACATAAATGTTTTATGAGTCAAATTGACATAAAATATTGACATTATTTTTAATAAAAAAATATTAAGCAGCTATGTTTATGAATTTTTTTTATTATATTGTATTTGACTTTCTCAATTTTTTTCTCATAATATAAAACTTAAACTAATACTTAAATTCATAACACACAATGTTAGTGCTCTAAAGTCTGTGTCAGTACTGTCAAGTCTATTAAAAAATAAAAAGAAAACAATGAAAAAAATAAAATTAAGGAAAAACGAAAGAGAAAAGATATCCTAAAAATAAAATTTATAAAATGTGGAATTGGTAATTTGTTAACTTATAAAATTATGTAAAATCTATAATATTTTTTATATAATTGAATTTCATGATCATTGTTAACATAGCATAAATTATTATAAAACTTATGTTTGTTCACTTGTATGTTAATGATAGATTAATTAACCAAATTTTGTATTTATTGAAATAAGATTGACATGTTGACTAACTGATATGTCAAATATAACCCTTGTCATCGAATTGTAGCATCATATTTTGCGGACATGAAACCTTCTCTGCAATTTATCGAAGGCTTTTGCCCTTCGGTAAATGCCCACAGTAGGTCATTACCGAAGGCTTCTGGCCTTCGGAAATTATCGAGGGCTTCTGCCCTTCGGTAATTACCGAAGGCTTTTGGCCCTCGGTAATTACCGAAGGCTTTTGGCCCTCGGTAATTACCGAAGGCTTTTGGCCCTCGGTAATTACCGAAAGCTTTTGACCTTCGGTAATTGTTAGCGACAAGAGATTTACCGAAGGATTTTTGGCCGTCGATAAGCCTTCGGTAAACACCCTTTATCGACGGCTTATGACATTTTCCGAGGGCTTCTGACCTTCGGTAATGCCCTACTTTTTTGTAGTGTGTAAAAGTTAAAAATTATCAAAGGAACACTATAATATATGTTTAAGAGGAATATGGAATCCCAAAATAAATTATAAGTCAAAAGATAACAAATATATCCATTTATCTCAAAATTAAATAATACTAGTTAGATATCAAAATTAAACATTATCTAACTCATTTGTTTGTTTGTGAATTTAAGAAAGGACCATTTTAGACTTGCACATTTTTACCACATCAGTGCTTTAAGAATCATATTTAAATGACTTCACCTAAACTAAACTTAGTTTAACATATATTATTTTCTTTTCAAATAGAAATTGTCTCCTCAATATAGAAAAATCAATTAAAGATAATGTTACACTATTTTTAAATAAAATAACTTTTTCATCCAATAGTTCGAATAAGTAGAGGTTTCATCACTAAACTTAATATTAGATTTTGTATTTGTTTAAAATATATGATAATTCAATTTCTTCAAACAAAAATATTATATTTATTTTTAAAGTTTATTAATCCGATACAACATTAAATTCCTTTCATATATATTTATATATCTATTTTATATTAGATTCCTCTTTTTAATGTCCATATTTATATGACATACCTCTTTTTATATCAACTTCAAAATCTGATTCATATGAAAATATAATAAATTACTCATTATCCATCTTGAATTATTTAACTTAATTTTCTGAAATCTGAATAAAGTTAATTATTTAGTTTTGATAAGGTATTGTATTTGTTGAATAAATGTAACTAATTTTTTTCATATTTTTAAACCGTTTGATAAGGGAAACGATTTTCATATTATTTAAGCAGATGCCAATATATAAATTTGATACTTTTGTTTAGTTATTATATTTTTAAAAAGTGATAAGTCTTTAGTAGTTTATAGAAAAAAAGCTTACGTCTTTCTAATTAAAACGTAGGGACTACAGATAAATTATAAAATTTTAAAGGAATTAAACAAATAAACATATTTATCATTTTTTCAAGAACACTATTTTATGTATTTTTTTTAAATGCATGAGTTAGGCTTTGGATTCAAGAGGAGGTGGATAAAAAAACAAAAAAAAAACGTAAAAAGTTGAATTGTCTGTATTGAGAAAAAAATGAAAAAAAAAATTATGTTGATTTGATTGATATGTAATAAAATAACTTTTTGTATATTAATACATTTAAAAGTAATTTGATATAATTTCTTTAAAATATAAATCAGAGTTAAAATAATTTTTTAAGTAAAATATTTTTTCATAAAATTTTAATAAAATAAGTTATATTTCAAAATAAGAATATATAAAAATAAATTAATTTACTTTTTAAAAGTATTGTTCTACTATTTTCTATTTTAATTATATTTTTTTATTATAATATAAAATATAAACGATTTTTTCATTTATTATTTTTATATGTTAATAAAATACCAAATTAGTTTATTTCATTTGTTATTTTAATATTTTTGGTATTTGTATATTAATATTTTTAAAAATTGATACTCTTTATAATTTACGTAATTTAAACCTCGTCATCTATTATAATTTTCACATAGCTGATTAAAAACATAATTGATAGTATTAGGTTTGTTTTAAAAAATGTTATATCTTTATAAGAGCACAATGTATCTTTTTTTGAAGGTTTCCAAACTTTGTTATTTCATGTCATACAGAATACTCCAGTTACTTAAAAGTTATTTTTTATTAATTATAATCTCGTAACCACAAGTTTATTGAAATATTTTATAACTGTTATTTAAAAAAAAACTAAAAGATATTTTGAAAAAACATTTTAATTGAATAAGAAGATATATTGTAAACATTATTTAATCATTATAAAAATGACATTGTAAGTAACAAGTGCAACTATAGTATCCAATAAATAAACATACATATATTACAATTATCACTATGCATATTTTTCTTTTTGAATGTAGATATAAAAATTAGTCTAATGTCACCTTGATGAAACCCTATATAAACTGTAGCAAAGAAGAGGAACCTGAGGAAATACAGAAAAGCAGATTGTGTCCATTGAACTTAGACGCGCTTACTGAAACCTAGCGTACTGAAACCTAACCCGGACGTGTTCCGGTTGAGAAAACAGGATTGCATACGACCCGATAAGTCCGAAGTTTCAAGTGTAGAATTTGTTGTGGTTCTGAAAGAAACTCACATCAACCCAAGTAAGCTTTCAAAACCCTAATCGCTACTCTTTTTCTTCCTTTTTGTTTTATTGTTCTGTGCTAAGATTTCGATTTGTATGTATGATGTGCATTTTAATCTGTGCTCAATTTATCATTATCACTCGCGCTTCTAATCTTTTCAATTTATTATTTAAATTCTACTGGCTGCTTTTTGTTTTGCTTGGTTTACTTAATTCGAGTAGATTGATCACTGCAGGAGTAGCATGTGCTAGCTTCCCGGGTTTTGTTTGTTGATTGCTCTTCGATCCTTGCTGAAGATTCTGTGCAAAATGGATTTGGTAGCTAGTTGCAAGGTATGTTTATATTTAATTTTTGTTTGAAAATCCTTATTTTGGTTTTTCAAAGGTACTATACTAATGCAGAATGCAGTGTTGATTTTGATGGTAATTGACAATTTTAGTTTTGGAATGGCTTCTAAGAAGAACAAGGAACCTTTTTTTTTTTTTTTTTTTAAAATAAGTTTATTTATAGTGCTAGATGTTAGAATTGGAATTTTCTCTAGCAAATATGGTTTGTACCTTATTCATTGAATGTACTTGCAGTGTTTATTTATTTTTATTTCTTTATCATGATCATTGTCAAGTATGTCATGCAGCAAAGTGTTAGTGTTCATTTTTGTCTTGATTTTATGCTGTATAATATTAACCATGAACTATGACGTTGTACATTACTGATCTAGTGACTTTTTCTTGTAGGAAAAATTGCAATATTTTCGTTTGAAAGAGCTCAAAGATGTGCTCACTCAATTGGGACTCTCAAAACAGGGAAAGAAGCAGGTGAGTCCAGGGAAAAAAAATTCTCTGATTACGCATGGTTTTCAATTTTAGGATTTTGCTTTGAATCTTGAGTGCTAATTGGCATCATTGAATGATGTTTATTGGTTTCTTGTTATTTTTTATGACATTTCCTTAGCTCTTTAAATTGTTTTATTTGGGCTGCACAGTTTAGGCTTTTACGTCTTTTTGTGATGAATTCGCTTTTGAAACTCTTAGAAAAGATGTATCTTCAATTTTAGGATTTTGCTTTGAATCTTGAGTGCTAGAGTAGTTGGCATCATTGAATGATGTTCATTTTCTGATTACTTGTTATTTTTTATTATATTTATTTACCCCCTTTTCAAATTTTTTTATTTACGCCGCACATTTTCAACTTGTATGTCTCTTAGTAACGAAGAATATGCGTTTGAAACTCTTTTAAATGATGTATATTGTCAAAGGGGCATAGACTCTCATGTTCTTTGTTTTGGTTTTTAAATTTTAACTTGGGCAATAATATTATTTTTTAATGCTTAACTTAGTACTATTTTTTGGGGTTTTTAGACAATATAATAATATGAATGCTTCATTTTCTATAGGATCTTGTTGATAGGATATTGTCTATTCTTTCAGAGGACCAAGGTATGGCTATTTATGCTCTCTCTATGATGTACACACACGGTGACTCAACCATTTTGTAATGTTTCTGCTTGAATTTGTCAAAGTTTATTTATTTGAATACCTACATGTTAGAGTTATTAACTTAACTCCTTAACATGCAAATGTCTCAGATGTGTTTGTATGTCAATGCTAATATCTTATTGCAGTGATTAATTGTTGTATATATTCAGCGTTTTAATTTTCTTTTATTCAAGTTAGATGTATTGTAAACTTTCCTTCTTAGGGTTTGTTTGGATAAACATCGCTGCAAACACTTATAGGAGAAGAAAACAGAAGGAAAAATGAAATAATCTTCTTTAGAAGTTAAAATTAGCTCATATGTAAGTTAATTTGTAGAATTTTTTCATATTAGTTTCTCCAAAATTTGTCTTTTAGCTTATGCATAAACTAATTTTAGCCTCCTGCGAAACTTACAACTTTTGTCTTTTAGCTTATCCGAATATGCCCTTAGTATGATGAGTTTGGGTTTTCTCATTTCTTTTGGCTATGTGTTTGTACAGAAAAATTCCTTTTATGGCTTGTCATCGTCCTTTTATAGTACACTTTTAAAATTCAGTCTCATCATCAACTATGCTGAAGTCTAGCTCAATATATCGCATTGGTCAACCATAGTTGATAACAATGCCAAATAGAGACTCTATTGTGGAGCGGCTCAGGCATGCTACGAAAGTTGAATGGGCAAAGTTGTGCAAATCCTGGCTGGAGCAAGAACTGTTGGTGTGAGTGACAAGAAATCATTTTAGCCATGAAATAACGTCATTAATGGCTGTATTGGGAGATTCAATTTGGATTTCCCTCAGTCCCTGGAATCAAAATTGGAACTCTACTTTGTCAGTCAGCTGTGTGCACTCTGTTGTGAAGTAGCATCCACTGTTTTTATGAGGGATACCCACCTATATTTGGCAACATTTCCTTGCCAGCTGTGACAGGTGGGCATTCCCAACTTATGCAGCCTCTTCTCTCCATAGTTTCCAATCATACTGAGACATGCAGCAATTTTCTGGAAAACCTGTCATCTTTTCCATCTGACTGTCACCTTTGCTACCTTGCTTTGTTCTGTTCCTCACGGTTCTGTTCTTTTAATTCCTCTATAGCAGAAAGTCTTTCGTCCCACTATCTGCTATAGCAATTTCAGGTCAGCTGCACTGGCTGTTATTTGGAATTTGCAAATATGTCGTCAACAACTACAACACAAGCCATATACCGCTGGGAATGGGTCATATTGGTCAAACTTTATAAAATATACAAATATAAGTTATGAATAAAATGAGCTTTAGGCAATGACGTTTATTTATACCAGATCAAGTTTTTTTTTTTTTTTTTTTTTTTATCTGATTCAAGGCTTGAATCAGATAAAAAACCAGTAGAACTCAAGTTTTAGAACACTAGTTTAGAGTGGTGGCAATGCAACTTCTATAAAGGCATAGTTTATTGAATTGAATGTATTTTGGAATTTTTATTTTTTACGCATATAATTTTATTTTGTGAAGTTGCCTGACATGCCTCTATCTTTTCCCCTGTAAACTGAGTTCACAGCTTGTTACTTTTTCCCAGTTTCTAAATTGTGGATCAAGAAGAATGCAGTTGGAAAACAACGAGTGGCCAAATTAGTGGAGGACACATATAGGTTAGTGTTAGAGGCAACACTATTGATGATATTTTTTTTATCTAGTTTAGTATGCTTCAGATAAATGTAAAGGCCAACAATTTTTCAGAGAATGTTTGAATACGAAGTTATAAGTGTTTTTGAGAGGTTCTCTACTGAAAAAAGCGTCTATCTTTTAGTAGAGAAACTCTCAAAAACATTTTGAACTTATCCAAATAGAGCTCATGTTTGATCAGTTTGTACTTTACTCATGGTTTGAGGATGTGTTTCTATGTTTATGTTAAGTTGATCGTGAGGGCATATACTATACTCTTGGTTTGTGTTTTTCTTGTGACTTGTGTGTTTTCATTTTGCTCAGAAAATTGCAGGTATCCGGGGCCATTGACCTGTCATCGAAGGGACAGGGCTCTGATAGCAGTAATGTGAAAATTAAAAATGAAATGGAGGATTCCTTTCTATCAGATACTAAGATTCGCTGTCTCTGTGGAAATGTATTGGATACGGACCCATTGGTCAAGGTGTAATATTCTATATATATGTTATCTATCCTGATCATTTTAATATTATATGCCTTTTTACTCGCCCGAATGATTTTATTGGTCATTTCCATCCCAATCCCCCCTCTTTTATATAATTCTTTTATTAACATCTCATATCAATTTAAGTTTGTTAATCGAAACATTTTTTCTTCTCGTCTAATTGCAGTGTGCAGATACAAGATGTCATGTGTCGCAGCACATCAACTGTGTTGTTATTCCAGAGAAACCTACGGATGGAACCCCACATGTTCCTGATAAATTCTACTGTGAAATATGTCGAGTTGATCGGGCAGATCCGTATGTTGTGTTTGTTCTTTTAGTAGACAGGGTGGAATAAATAATAGTTCAGAAGTTTTCTTTTCCCCCATTCAATGCTAAATATTTGTAATCTTTACTTGCATTTTATTTTGTATTATCAAGGGCTTGTGTTATTTCCGTTTTCATCCGATTTGTTGTCTGTGATATCCTGTAGTGATGCAATTGACTGAACTTATGGATGATAACATGTTTCATGGTGGTAACTTCGTCGTTGATGGTTCTTTCACTAGCATATTGATAGTTGTAGAGAGACTCACCTTTTGTATTTCATTCTTCTAACCTAACATTGTCGTGGCTGCTAGTTATGAATAGAAATTCCAATTTCCACTATTAGGCTTCGATTTTTGTTGAACGATGTCATTTTGAGAATATGATTATGATTCTTAGATGAATGCTATGTTTATTGGCTTTTGAAAAACTCTTCCTCTGTGTGAGATACTCCTGTATGCATTTATTATTTGCCATTTTCTTCAGTCCATCACTCAAATTTTTATTTTTATTCTCTTCTTTATATTACAGGTTCTGTGTTTCAGTGACACACCTTTTGTTTCCGGTGAAGTTGACAACAACCAATATTCCCACTGATGGGTAAGGTTGTAATTGGCTTGTGATATTGTGCTACTGGTTTTGTTTGTGTTTGAGCAAAATGAATGTCTTTTTTAGTTATTATATGCCAATAAGAGAATTTGTTGCGTAAGTTACAATTACAATTGCTTGCATGAGTAGTTATCCTTCATTCAGGCTTGACTACTTTCCATTTAATTTAGAAGGTGAGGGTGGAGTTGTGTTATATTTAATTCTTTTCTTCTAATGCAAGTTCATGTGTCTTGTGTATAGCTTTTGGTTTCTTTCCACGCATGTTCTATGTTGGTTGTTTTGTTCTATTCAAAGGGATACCGATATTAGCGCTGTTTCCTATATTTACATTGTGTGAAGTAAAATTGTTTGGGTGTTGAGTTTGCTTTTTTGAGTTGAAAGTTCTCTCAGGACATTAACCTTTCGGAACTAAAGTCCCCTCCTCTGAGTGTTTTATTTTCTTGTCTCATGGTTTTCTTAAGTCAAATCCTTCACAAATTTATTGTTTTTACCATCTTTAATATAACTTTGTGCTTGAATGGTTTAACCATATTTCTATTTGAATTATTCAGAACCAGCCCAGTACAGACTGTGGAAAGAACGTTTCAACTCACTAAAGCAAACAAGGAGTTGGTATCGAAACCAGAATATGATGTTCAGGTTGGTATGATTTAGTGCTTGTAGTTTGATGCGTAACTGGATATCTAGGTATTAATGTATGACAATTCTTTCATATTTAGGCTTGGTGTATGCTTTTGAATGACAAGGTTTCATTCAGGATGCAATGGCCACAATATACAGATTTAAAAGTCAACGGTATGTTTGCTAATCTTAATCTACTCCCTTTTGTTAGTTTCCTTTTGAGACTTTTGTTTCATGCCTTGGGTCTTACTTTAGTCTGCACATTAAATTAAAATATCCAAATTTCTTCGTGGAATTCATGATTATGGTTGAATTATATTTTTGTCATTGAATTTTAACTATATACCTGCAGGTCTTCCTGTTCGTGCAATTAACAGACCCGGTTCACAGGTGCTTGGGCCTAATGGTCGTGACTCTGGTTCAGTTGTGAGTTTCTTGTCTTCTATTGATTGTAACAATTAAGAAATTTATCTTATTTTCTATGCCTGTTTTGAATGTAAAAATTTATGTTTGAGTGCTGGTTTTAGACCAATTTTTTCTTCATTGTTAATTAAATTTTATTCATACTAGTTTAATCAATTTCTTATTTTATTTCTCCTCTGCCAGATCACACCATATTCAAAGGATGGAATTAATAGGATTTCCTTGACAGTGGTGGATGCTCGCATATTCTGTTTAGGGGTTCGAATTATTAAAAGGCTCACCGTGCCAGAGGTGTTGCATTCTAAACTTGCTGAATTTTTAAGTATAGTATTCTGGCTGACTTCTGGTTCCTTCGGTCTATAACTTATTGGAATAGTCAAGATTATTCAATCAAGATTGCTTTCTAAACTTGCTTAATTTTTAAGTATAGTATTCTGGCTTACTTTTTGTTCCTTCAATCCAAGCTTATTAGGAGTTTGATGTTGAATCTCCTTATATGATGTCAGTCAAAAAGTTTGAGGCTGTTTCCTTTGGGTTTATTTCTGAAAAAGAAAAAGGAAATTTAGCAAAACTTGGAATGCTAATGTGATTCTCAGTTTTTGTCAATTTTAAGTTGGGGATTATTGAATTCGGAAACTTGGCAGGGTAGTTTATGTAGTGCTATGGCTTGACATTGCAGCTGTTGCTTATATTGGCATTTAGCACTCATTTTAATTGTGAAAAGGCATGTCTTGTAATTGTCTCTGACGTGAAAATTGTATTTATCAGAGTTCTTATGCTTTCTTAGTTCCATGCTTAGGAGTTATTGGCATACTATTGGTTTTTTTTTTCGTGATGTTTAATATCCTTCCACATATATATCAAAGGCATGTTTGGGTCTCCCGAACTCTTAAAATTATATAGGAATCTTTTTCATTTGGTTTTTTATGTGATTCCCAGTTTTCTGCTTTGTAAATATGGTGAAGAAATATTGCTAACACTTGTTTTGGATTGGCTTCTTTTGGAGATTTTAACATATTGATCTTTTTTCTTTTTTTATTTGGTAGGGTTCTGTTTTGATCAAACTGCATGTCTTTGATAACCAAAAATTGTTTTTTGATGAAGTTTTGGTGTTTCCAAGCAAAGCAGAATGTTTTATGCTGTCAATATTTTATCTATCGTTCATATATGCTTAAGTGTGATCTGAATTGTGTTTGCTCCTCATTCACTAAATGTGGAGAGTGTGCATGGATTTTAGTGGGAGTGACATTACTTTTAATTACAAAAATTTCTCTTATGGAAAGATAAATTCGTATTAGACAAGCAAAGGAAAGCACAAGGAGTTAGATAAGGTATCCTCCAGAACATGTAGAAATACAGGGGATAAGTAAAAGGACATTAGAAGCTATTTTGCTGAAGGAAATGTGCTTTGTTTCCATTTTGTAAAAAAGGCAGTATTTTCATATGCATCCTGTTTAAAATGATTGTTCAAGAAATGGTGAAAATAAAATGACATTTTTTGTATATGTCAATGGGAACAGAACACATTTTCCTAAATCTAAGGGTCCTTAAACTCAGCAACCATCAAGGTACCAGATCTCTGGATTACAGAATCCCAAACCTCAACAGTTACTGAATGTAGAGAATTGAGAATTAGTTAGAGAAGGTAGCTTGGCATAATTAGGAGTCGAAGGGGATGGATTGAGAGTTGTTAGCATTAGGTTAAAGAAAGCAATGTCAAAGTATAGTTATAAGGGGAAACCCTTGGCTATAATTCAATTTTCTATTTGTTCTGCTGTTTTTCAGTCAACCATGAAATCATTTTCCTTTCTCTGTTTCTGTTATGGGTTTCTTTTACTGAGTCGGCTACTCTATTGAAACAACACAGAGAAGTGCTAAGCATCAAAAGCAAAATATCAAACCTTTATTCCTTTGAAAGATAAAATTTAATTCACGAAGGATGTGAGATTTATATCTCTGTTGTGTTGAAATGCCCGTGGCATGTATGCTTAATTTTTGAAGTCTATATATTCATTTAGTACTATTACACATGCATTATTAAATCAATTACTGGTTCTCTGGTTCTAGATTCTAAGCATGATTCCAGAGGAGCCTAATGGTGAGAGTTTTGAAGATGCTCTTGCACGTGTTTGTTGTTGTGTTGGGGGTGGAAATGCAAATGATAACGCTGATAGTGATAGTGATTTGGAAGTGGTTTCAGATACTTTTAGCATCAATCTTCGTTGCCCAGTAAGGCTTTCATGTGTTGGATTATTTTTAGTTACCATGAAGTTTTATGATTCACTTCCTGAAAGTCTTACAAATTGTGTACTTGTTAAATTTATAGATGAGTGGTTCAAGAATGAAGATTGCAGGAAGATTCAAACCTTGTGTTCACATGGGCTGTTTCGATCTTGAAGTTTTTGTTGAATTGAATGAACGATCAAGGAAGGTATGGTTCTAAAAAGTTGAGCTTGCTTTGTCGGACACCTGTTTTTAAAAAATGTTTGATGAAGCATTAATTCTTTCTGCAGTGGCAGTGCCCCATATGCCTTAAAAATTATGCTTTGGAGAATATCATCATTGACCCTTACTTCAATCGCATCACTACTCTGGTATTGTTTTGTCTCCCTTTATCTTTATTTCTCTCTTGATAAAGCATATAATTGAGTTTGTTGACTCGGTAGTTATTACATAACTGGTTTGCTGGCATAGATGAAAAATTGTGGAGAAGAGATTACAGAGGTCGAGGTGAAGCCTGATGGTTTTTGGCGTGTCAAGGTTAAGAATGAAAGTGAACGTCGGGAGTTGGGAACTCTTGCTCATTGGCACCGTCCTGATGGATCCCTCTTTGTCTCTACTGATGAAATCAATAAAATGGAAAATTTAAAGCTCAAACAGGAAGGTGTTTCAGATGGTCATATTGGTTTAAAACTTAGGAAGAATAGTAACGGTGTTTGGGAAGTCAGCAAACCTGAGAATACAAACACCTCTTCTGGTAATAATAGATTGAATGAGGATCTTGAAAATATTGAACATGTTATTATTCCAATGAGCAGCAGTGACACTGGAAGTGGCCGGGATGAAGATGATCCAAGTGTAAATCAGGGTGGTGGTGGGCATATTGATTATTCTACTACCAATGGTGTTGAGATTGATTCTGTGTTTAACAGTAATATTGATTCAGCATATGGATATTCTGTTCATAATGCTTCTGCTCCAATTGGTGATGCAGAAGTTATTGTTATTAGTGATTCAGAAGAAGACAACGATGTATTGATGTCTCCAACCCCTATAACTGGGTACACGAATAATCAAACTAGTGCTGCAGTTGATGTTTACTCGGTGCTAGAGCCTGGAATTCTTGATTCATATACGGAAGATCCCAATCCTGGTGGAAATGCAAGTTTAGGAGTTTTTAATAGTCATCCCAGTGAAGATGATTTTGGGATGTCCTCCCTCTGGCCATTGCAATCTGGAACTCCAGCAGTCCCAGGATTCCAATTATTTAGTTCTGAAGTGGAGGACGTGTCAGATACATTGGTTGGTTTGCAGAGTGGTAACATCAATTGCTCATCGTCACTGAATGGTTATATGTTGGCCCCGGATACTGCTTTGGGATCTAGCACTCTTATGCCAGATTCCTCGGTGGCTCGACCTGATGATGATTTAAATGGTGGCTTGGTTGACAATCCACTGGCATTTCCCAGAGAAGATCCCTCCCTTCAGATTTTTCTCCCTACAAAACCAGCAGAATCATCCATTCAGCATGAATTGAGTGATCATGCGGACATATCAAATGGTGTCTTCACGGAGGATTGGATCACTCTTAGTCTTGGAGGTGGTGCTAGTGGCCGTAATGGTGATGCTTCCACTGCAACTGGATTGAATTCCAGACCGCAAATAGCATCTGGAGAAGGTGCCTCAAATTCCTTGACAGATACCGGTTCGTTACTCTTGGCCTAAAGCTTTCGTCACTACTTTTTTCTAATTTTTTAGAGGATCTCAATTGTCAATTTGAGTACTGATTTTAGCTAGGGATATCATTTTGTGCGCTTTCATATGTTTGGACTCAGAAGTTTTAGTTACACAGAAACACATGTGGAGGTTAATATCATCCATATCTTCAAGTGGGCAAACAACCATTTACTTATTCTTGACAATGATATTGTCGTGTATTATATCAATATATGAACTTGCTTAGTCATCGCAAAATACCTAAGAATTTGAGTATTTCCCTTTTCTTAATAAATGAGGCCTTTTCGGAGAACCTTCTTAATATATTTTAGGATGTGAATCACTGCATCTGAATGTTCTTGACTAGGAGAATTAATAAATTGACTTACTATGCTCACTGAAAGGTGATGTTGGAACGAATCAAAGTGAGGGAATTTAGATTACCAACTAACCATATGTATCTCCTAGGATTGGTTCTCCTTGGTTAGATACAAGTTTGACACTGGATCCATTTGTGTCCACAAACTTAGTAAACATCATTGTTTCTTTTAAAATGCCGAGAGCATATTTTCTGACATGAACAATCCATCTTTGCATTATGCCACCTCTTTGTCAAGGAAAAACCTAAGGTGTCCAAGCTTTTTTTTCTTGAAATTTTGATCAATATATTGTTTTAGTTGTACAATACACTCTTTATCACTGCATGTTATAACAATGTTTTACTTTTACATATATATATTGAAATAGATACACTACACATTATGTGTGTAATTGGTATAAAGGGAACACTCCCATGGGATGAAAACTAGGTTTGAGTGAGGTGTGAATAGTGGATTTAATAACACTACATAGTTGAGCATCAATCTTTACCCGTTGTTCATGATTTATCTAGAAAGAAAGTAACTTTGCCTCTGAGTGGGCCAAACATGATCTCCCACTAGGAGGGGGATATGAATGGGTAGATCTCAATGTTTGAGGGTATTTGTTAGGGGCTGGAAAGTATATGAGAGGAGGTATATGGGAGAGAGAGAATGGGACCGAACGTTAGACAAGGGGGAGTGAGTTGGCCGAACGGTAGACGAGAGGGAGCGACCAGGCCGAACGGTAGACGAGAGGGAGCGACCAGGCCGAACGGTAGAAGGCAGGGAGCGAGTTGACCGAATGGTAGACGAGGGGGAGCGACCAGGCCGAATGGTAGACAAGGGGGAGCGACCAGGCTGAACGGTTGGAAGCAGCAAGGAAGCATCCTAACTGCCACAGCGGTTATGATTGGCGGGAAATATTTACTAATTATAGTAAATAAAGTCATATCCTAGGGTAATATTGTTAATTACAGTAATTAGAGAGCAGTATCTTAGGGAAATATTGTTAATTACGGTAATTAGAACAGTATTCCAGGAAATATTGTTAATTACAGTAATTAGAGCAGTATCTTAGGGAAATATTGTTAATTACGGTAATTAGAACAATATTCCAGGAAATATTGTTAATTATGGTAATTAAAGCAGTATCCTAGGGAATTATTCAATATAACTTAATTACAATAATTAGAGGTATATCCTAGGGAAATAATAATTATAAATAAAGCCCTGACGCTATGGTTTAGGGCATGCTTTGATTTGTGAGTTTTGTAAGAGAGGTTATGTTCTCAGGTGACTCACGGAGATTATGCTCCCAGTTATTGTTTGTTTCCTTTGATTCAGTTATTCTTATTAATAAAAGAGGTTTATTCATCCAATTTCTTTTATCTATTTATCTCTGAGAGTGCGTGAGAGGTTGTTCTGGTTACGTTTCCTACTCGGATATGTAACAGTATTTTTCTAAATATAAGTGGTCATCTTTTCTCAAGTTGTACCGCAATAATATTTATATGTTCGAGGAGCATGTCTCTGATGACATAGTTTCGTTTGATCAAGTGAGTGTCAGTGATAATGTTTGTCATGGCCGAGAGGGTTACCGACATGACTTTATCTAATGTGGCTCCTACCCAACTTCACTCCAATGTTTGAGCTTTCCTCGAGGATTTTAGGGCTATTAGTATCCTCCTTAACATAGATCCCACCCCTCAAGTATTCCTTCATTTTTATAGTACTCTGTCCTAGGAATGGTTAGCTGGTTGTCTTTAGTTCGGCAAGCAGGATCTTGTTTACTAAACTCTTTCTCTTTATCCTTTAAGACCTATAAAACCGGTTTCTTTGAGTGGTAGTAAATCCTTCTGGTTGAGAATACTTTTACACCGACAGAAAACCTAAATTTCCTTTTTACTAGATACGAGACCCCTGAGGTATCTCAAATGGTTGAGAGATTCCATGCCAGAAGAGGATAGGAAGACGTTGGGATGGTTGGTTGAATTACCTCGCTGACTTCCTACTCGACAAATTGTGAAAATCTTCCTTTCCCCGCATTCCTTTGCCAGCATGTTGGGTATGTTCTTTTTCTTTGTGAAGTTATGGCCGATGTTTTATCTAATCTGAATGTTTCTGTGTTAGCAGGAATCATGACGCTAGCTAAAGCTAAGATTGGAACGAAGAATGTCTTCTTTGACATGAAAAAGATTGCTATTGAGAACAAGAAAAAAGATGGTAGTCGGGGTACTGAAAAAGGTCCAATAGTAGAAACATATCCACCCTGGCTACAACAAGGAGGCAAGGGGATAAAGAGCAACAGGTCGACTAACCCTTGGGAGTATGTTGGGACTTCTTGGTTTGACCATAAAGACTATGGAAGTCTTGTGGTGGACGACATAGATATGTAGAAAAACATAAGCATATCCTTATCTGAGGAAGAGGCGCGTTTGGTTGGTGACAACTCTCCAAATTCGCTGATGAATGCACTCTCCTAAAAAAGGAGATAGAGGATGAGGAAAAAATCAAGATGGACAATGTGTTGGCCAAGCTGAAGAATCAGATGATGGCTATGAAAATCAAGAAGGAAGAATGGGAGAACAATCGATCAGAAATCAACAAGAGGCTAAACTCTTGGAAAAATCGTTGCCTAGAGGCCGAGGGCAAATTAGAAAAGGCCAAGAAGATGATTATTGAAGGGAAGCAAGCTCGGGAGAGTGTGGTTGAGGAGTTGCTGGAAACCCAAAAGTTAGTGGTATCTAAACATGAAGAAGGCTTTAAGAAAGCACTTCGCCAAGTAGCGCTCCTCTACAACATAGATGCTGGTGACAAACGCTTTGATGTGAACAAAAATGTTAATAAAAAAACCTTGGTTCAACTAGTCAATATGTCTGTCTTAGATGCCAGTGAGGATGATGCTAAAGATGTTGAGGAAGTTGTCGGCATCAAAGGAACTCCCTCTAACTTGAGTTTGTCTCCCAAACCTGTTGCTATCGCTGAAGAAGTTAATGTTGAAACCATAGAGTAGCTATGTTTTTTCTTACTTTTTGTTTTTAAGGACCAAAATGTATGGTAAGCATGTATGTAATCATTTGCCTAGTTGTGGCTTATCAATAAAGTTCATCTTTGTCATGGAATTCAATCATTAGCCTATATGGATCTCAGTACGACATTTGATTGATGCGGATGTGCAATAGAGCTGGTGAGGTGCTTAATGCCGAGTGTTAAGTAGTGGACTTTAAGACTAACTCAACCCCACAAAACCGCTTTAAGACTAACTCAACCCCACAAAACCGGCTTGTAAGGTTTGCACCCACTTATATATACTATGAATTGGCCTTATCTCTAGTCGATGTGGGACTTCCAACACACCCCTCTCATGCCGAGGTATATACATCTCGAGCGTGAGACTAGACATTAATGGGTGGTCCGATAGCGGCCCGATAGCGGGTGGGACAATATGCCCAACAAACAACAAATATCTCTAGGATAGGCTCTAACCTGGCTCGGATATCATGTTAAGAAGTGGACTTTAAGCCTAACTCAACCCCACAAAACCGACTTGTAAGTGAGGTTTGCATCCACTTATCTCTAGTTGATGTGGGACTTCCAACACCAAGGTTGGTATAGAATTCTGCCAAATCTTTGTCAATGAACTACCTTCTATTATCAGTTATGATGGTGTGTGGAACCCTATATCGGCACACTATGTTTTTCCACACAAACTTGTACACTTAATTGGCCGTGATGGTTGCTATCGATTCTGCCTCAATCCACCTAGTAAAGTAATAAGTGCCGACCAAAAGGAACTTTGCTTGACCCTTTCGTGGAGCAAAGAATCCGATAATGTCCATCCCTTCACAAAAGGCCATGGGGAGAAGATGTGATGCAACTCCTCTTACTTGATATGTACCAAGTTGCCATTTTTTTTTTGCAAGGTAGACACTTTTTCACATACTTAGCACAATCATTGGCCATGGTAGGTTAGAAATAACCAACTCGTAGTACTTGAGTTGCCATGGTTCTTACCCTCGAGTGATATCCACAAATTCCCTCATGTAATTCTCTAATGATCTTCTTGGCTTGTGTGAGAGTAACACACTTCAACAATGGCTGCTATATCCCTCTTAAAAAGCTATTTGCCAATTAGTGTGTATCTAGCTGCCTTTCTCTGCCATGCTTTTTCTTCACTCTCAAGAAATTCATGTGTTCGTAAGTATTTTATGATGGGAGTCATCCATGTCTGTTCAACCTCTATCGCCATAGACCAATCAAGCAATTCTCGAGGTCACCTACCGCTGACAACCTGGTAATGTTTCAATCAAGCCTCTTCATCTCTTTGTTTTCAGCCTAGGATTCTCTTCCCTCGATGCATCTATCTCCTTAGCACTACTCTTCTTGAACTCAACAAAGTCCTTTTGCGTTGCCATCAGCATGGTCATCTCACTAAGGGATTTCCAACTTCTCTTGCTCATGTCATCTTACTTCTCGCAGACACCATATAGTTTCTTCTTCACAAACGAGCCCCATAGTGGGTGTCAAATGTTGTTGTAGGACCAAAAGCACATTGGGAACTAGAAGCTCCTCTTGTCTTCTATCTTCACTCTTCAAGCTCCTAGCTGAGGTGTATCCAGATCTAGGCTTCGTCTTAAGCTAAAAGAGGGTGTACCTACAAAAAATACTTTGATGCTCAAGTCAAGGGTGTGTGTCAAGACGATCACAAATGTTGTAATAATGAATATGTAATTAATTATCTAATGAACTTTTGCTATTTATATTTGGTTTATGGGCCCTTATCTGGGCCTAGACCACATGGATAATTATCATAATTAACATGCATAATGATTTGATAATATGTTTTTGCTCTCAACCTTTACTAATTCATGGTTAATCCTTACTGTTACAATGTGATGAGGCCGATGTGATCCCAATCATCGCAGGTAATTCATGGCTGCCCGAGACGATCTTGGGTAGGTATGGGCCGAGACCATTTCGGTCATATGAAAAGAAAAATGATTCTTGGTCATGATGGGCCAAGATGATATCAAGGAAGCTTGAGATAACCTCAGTTATATAGGTTGAGATGGTCTCGGATACATATAATACAATTTATTTATTTTTAGAAGAAATGAATCAATATAATTAAAGGGGGAGATTTGATATCCTCTAATGATAATTGACGGGAATAAAAAGAAAATGTTTTTAATAGTACATATATAATCTAGATATTCTTATATAGGATTGACCCTTTATTTCTATAATTATAACATTGTTACAAATAAAGGATGAGAGTGTAATTAGGGTGATTATTATTAATAAAATAATTTATTTACTTAGTTCAAGTTGGTATTGAAGTCTATTCTATTCTGGCAAAGTTTGTTGAAACTATTGTACCAGCTATTATAAAGCTATATACATATCCAGTCACATGTTAGAGATGTCTAATGCTTGACGTGATAGGGTCCATCGATTATAGATATGGTTAATTACATTACATAAAGGAGTGGAAATCCCATCTTACAAGTGATAGGTTGAGTTACGTCTAAATCTACTTTCTAAGAGAGTTGTTATAAGGAATAGGGAAATTCTTAAAATAGCATGTCCCTTCTCGAAGACAATTCTTATGTTGTTCCTATGTTATGCGGCTTTTAACTCTTTCTGTTAATGAACAGTTGACCATCCATTTGTTAGGTTTTTTGAGAAGGAAATACTCTGAATTGTTTTGCAGATATCAGTAAGATTTTTTGTTAGCTCAATTTCAAGTTATTCTTGAGGCTGAGGGATGATTGGAAATATGTATATTTCATTTTCGTTTCATGAAGCATCTGTTGTTACTTCTGATGTTAAATGTTAGAAAGCTTGAATTTGTTTGTTGAAACTTCAGACAGATGCGTTGTTTCTAATTCTTTAGACATATAATAAATTGACCCAATAAATTTGATAGAGATCTCTCCTTAAAAGTGTCCCCTCACGTGAATAATTTATATTCTTCGGGCTAAAAAAATTAATGGTTGCTTAGTGAGCCTTGAAAACGTGGAGAAGATAACTTCTAACTTCTTGACACAAAATGTCAGCCGTGATTGTACATTTTGCTGGTTTGTCTCCTTTCTCATGTTAAAATCTATTATTTTGTCTGCAACTGTAGACATTTTGCTAGATTGATTTGATTTGACCAATATTCTAGTTCTAACTCAGTGATTCTTATATGCAATGCTCTATTTTTCTCCTCCAATTATTGACTTACCACGCCTTCTTGTGCAGCTCCTTTACACCTTGGTATCAATGATGTTAGATCTGACAAGGCGAATGGGAAAAGATCTGATTCAGACAGCCCTTTCTCTTTTCCTCGCCAAAAACGTTCAGTAAGGCCCCGCCCGTATCTTTCTATTGCTTCAGATTCCGAGTAGAGGTATTAGAACCTTGGGTCTCTATTAACTCTAGACGTCCTTCTTAACCCCACATTTTGTATTTAGAAACTGAAGAAAGTTGAGCAGCATTTTTGGTCCTCAGGAAATGGAAGATGATGTGGTGAGGCACCTCTGGTATTATTTTTCCATTGGTGGTGAAGGTGTAGGCTGCAAAGTTTCTCAATTTTTTATGCTTGATATTCAAGTTGTCCATATGACATAATGAAAAGGTCAGGGGCATGCTTTTATTCCCCAGTTTTCAGCCAGGAACTGATGATACTGGTATATAGTGCTGTAAAGATTATTGTATCTGCAATTTTGTTTCTGCTGAGAGTAATTAATCTGTAAATGTTAAGCCAGCAGATTTAATAGTAAAACCAAAAGTAGTTTAATCTTATTCACACCCAGGTAGTCACCCAATTTTGTAAAATATGATTGCCAATATTTGTAATATATTTAGGCAGTAAAGTTACCTCCTGGATTGTATATCCTGGAGAGGATAAACATTTTTCCTGTCTGCATCTGCACGGCTGGAGTAAAATAGTTGAATATGATCTTCAATATAGCGGAATTTTTTTGCCCTGTTTGGGAACAGGGGAAGAAAACAAGAATCGTGTTATATAATTCTCGTTTATTTTAATTGATGTTCTAGTTTACTCAATATTTCCAAACAGTTGATGTCTAAAGAAGGAAGTACTTTATTTGTCTAAATTATACTTTGTTCTATATTATTTTCTTGCACCATTGTGCTACTGTGTTTCTCATCTTGAAAATTTAGATGTTAAATTACTTAGAAGAAAGTTGTTATAATTGTTTTAAAAATAGATCTTTTACATTTTTCATGAATATTGTGTGGAAATATATACTATTAGGAAAAATGAAATACTCCTGTCATTTTTTTCAAGGAAGGATTAAAGGAAGAGTTAAACGAAGAGTTAAAAGAGGTTTAGTTGAAGTGTGAAGTAAGCTTCTTGTTGACTGTCCAACATATTAAACTACTGGAGTTTAGGGTTGACGTACTTATTAAACTATTATATTTTATAACAATTTAATTTATCTTAAAACCTTAGAACTTCTTTCCTCAAATTATGTTTGTAAATATAGTTAGCTATTAGAATAATTATTTTTGATATATATATATATATATATATATATTTATCTCGTGATTTAATTTATTTTTGAAAATCGTGAAATTCATGATAAGATTTCAATTCAGATTCTAATTCGAAATTATTTTTATTGAAGACATACTTGGTGGAACTAGTTAATCAACATAATGTATTAAGTTTTTTACGTTAGTTTATTTTACATAAAAGTCATGTTAATTCAAAGGATATATATGTTTTTCTCCTATTTTGTAGGCATTGTCTTTTATTAGTTTGTTAATTTACATTTTCTTCCATTTTACTCATATTTTATAATACGTTGATTTACATATGAATAAACTTATGTTTTTTACATCTATATAATTCTTGATAAAAATAAATCAACAATTTTTTATATTTTTATCTAGATTGCCTCGCTTATTGAATTTAATTGTCATAAAGAAGATTTAACTCATTAATTTTTATATATTGTAAATCTTAAAATAATTTTTCTTGACATTTAAGAATTGATGTTTTGTAATGAACTTAAAATCTAAGTTATTGATAAATCAATAATTAGTGATTTTTTTTAAAAAAAAATATGAGAACTAACCTGTATAAGTGATTGAGAGATAGTCGAATCTAAGTTTACTGCAGTTCAATCTGCTTCTTTATCTTTTCTTAAGTTGGTCTTGTTTTAGTACCATAAATTAATCTTTAACATTCAATCAAATCAAATTTGAAATAATCAAGAATCATGAACAGTTAATATTTATAAAATTTCTATTACTTTAATATATTATATTTAAACTAGCCGTTTGAGATCTTATAAGTTAAATAAAAGTATTCATTTTATTTTAGTATTCATGAACGTTGTACATTCAGTTGTTATTTTAACAGTTTACTCCAAAGTTACTCGGCAATGGCTTTATATGGTAGCAGGCAATATGGTACCCTTATTCAGCAAGTTCAGAGGGCATTGTTGTAGGTTTATTTTTAGTATGCCCTTACCTTGTTGATCTCAGCTCATAAATAGTGTAATTGATGGTGGTATCAATCAACATATGTGCAAAATAGTATTTGATCATATAGCATAAGAATAGGGCAACATCACAATACCTAAGACAACCTTAAAACTAGATTCTAACCACTGTCGGAGAAGAATCTGGCTGACCCACAGAAGAAGACTTTGAAGCCTCTATCATCACTGGTGCCTGTTCCAAACAGCTCTGGGTATCATCATTCATCATCCCAATTGTCATCTTCTCAACTTCTTCTTGTGTATGGATATGAATCTTCGAGACCACCTCGCAGAACTCACTGCAGACAGAAGGAAAACAAAGCAGTTTTTCAGCGAATTTCACCAAGAATGCTACATGGGATTACATGGTCTATGATAACTGGCTGAAAGGCGGCAAAGCTGCATTTGAAAAAATGAGTGAAGGAAGATGGTTACTTACTGCCACGGGTCATCTCCCACAACCATAATGTCATTTTCACTGTCAGTGTATAGGATTCTCCATCCCTTGTTAGGATCTCTTAGAAGGCCTTCCATGCTAAATAGTCTCTCTAGTTCAATCAGCAGGTCACTGTAGCTGTTCAATCTTGAGAGATCAATGGCTCTTCCAACTAAGCTACCTTGCTTGTGAACCTTCATTCAGTGTTATGTTACATGTGTTGGCAAATTGTCAAAGAGAAAAACGCATATCACAATATAACTCTGTTGCTATCATCGCTCACCTTTGTGCAACTTCTTTTAGCTGAGTTCTGTAAATTTTGGGTGGTGGCTTCCCCGGACAAGGGAAATCCAAATAGTTTACAAGCATTTACCTTCCCATTGAAATTATCATCATTTGGAATCCTCACGTTTGTACCTAAAGAAGCAGCACCAGAAATATTGTCCTGCAGCTTCTGCTCATTTTGGATTGTGACTTCTGCTCGTCCAACTTCATTTCTCATGATCCCTGACTGAGAGGAAGGAGAGTTAAATGGAACATTCTCTCGCTGGAAATTGGTAGGTTTAGAGCACAACATGCTGGTGCCGCTACCTTGGCCAGCTTTGTGAATATCACCATAAGGAAAATATGCAGTTTGAATAACTTCTGGTCCTAAAGAGTGGAAGTTGGGTTTGGTTGCCTGTTGCAGGTTGTAATTTGTGAAACTGACACTGGGTTTGCCCCAGGCACCAAAGTTCAAATCAACCTTTCCTGTCAGAGATCTCAACTGACATATTTCTTGACTTTGCAAGACCCTTGGAAACCTGTTAGGTTCCGTGAAGCCTGCATAACTAGGAGGGTGGACCCTCATAAACTCACCAGCAGCAATCTTTCTCACTCCAGTTGATGATGCAAAATTTGGATGACTTGGAGATCTGATCTCAAATTCTGGCTGCTTAGTTACTGTGTCACATCCATAATACAGTGACATAAAACCTGACTTTTCTTGACCTTGCAAGACCTTGGATGATCTTACAGACTCCTCAGAGTCCATAAACCCACTGCCTCCTGCTGCCACACCTCCCAATGCAGAAGCAAAAAAATAAAAGAAATAGAGGACAATTAGAATGCCTGAAGTTTACTGATTTAAGGCACTTTGGCTATCTCAGCATTAGGATCTGTGATTCATACATACCTGTGATGAGGTGACTGGGTGAAGCACCCTGCAGACCTGACCTCAGTTTCTTCAGCCTTCTGGAGGATTGAATGCTCAACGGAGGGAGAGATGCCGAAGGATCGATCTCCCAAGGCGATACTCTATCTTGATGATTAATCTCAATATCTTCATCCCATCTGACCTGTCAGATATCACAGTAACAAACTATCACCATTTGGTCTGAGTAATGTACTGTGTTAAAATTTAAAAGCACTAACTAGCTTCCTTGGGAATGTATAATCACAGCATCAAATTCCCTGAATATGATGATGCATGTCAAACAGTTTAGAGTGAAATGTAGCCGATAGGCTAGTACATTATGCGTGAAGAAGGCAATATAAACTGTGGAAGCATGTTTTATACAATGCATTGAGAGTGTAAGATTTCTTACAATCATTCAAATGTTATGTACAGTAAATCCGTTGACTTCTGTAATAGACTATTTTAAAATTTGTACATAGTATTTGAATGACTGTATCTCAGTGCTGGATGTAGCTTATGCTTTGAAGAGAAAAATATACTTAGTAGATTCACTAGTTTCTAAAGAAGAAAAATAGCAATTGTACCATCAAGCACCTCCATCTTGACTTAGGCCATTTATAGGGATCCAAATCACTCATTCCAGTCACTATACCACTAGTACACCTGCAACATAGGAAGAAAATATCATATTCCTTAAGATTATTTTCCCTTTTATGTTCATGGTAGATGATGGTTAAAGTTTAATAACTATGTTGTAGTTGACCTTCTCTCGGGAGATTCATCCATTTCAAATCTCACTTTGAATCTTGTCCCAATGGTCACTGGATTCTTTATGCTTTTGACATATTTGTGGTAGGGCACAACAAAATCCGCATGAATTGCTCTGTATTATAAAGAAGTTCAAACACGTTACAATTTTTTGCTAGACTCTTGTGCCAATCATGAGTATGCTGAAATCCTTTATCAAACAAGAAACAGATAAAGCCTCCTCACATATATTGTAAGGATCCTATTGGCAAAATAACAGTCAAATAATGTTCAAAACTTTCACCATAGGCTCATTATTATTTGACAATATAATTGGTGTACTAGTGGTACTTTGTCATTTCTACCTATGAAACTTAGACTTACACTTGAATTATTCTCAATAGGTTTAGAAAGACCTTTAGCCATTTCTCATTTTCTGCCTAAACAATCTTCGCTATCCTTGCATAATCATATGCCAAAAATCTTCCCAAGAAAGGATGA